CCGCCCGATCTAAAGGGCATAGCCGGATCCATCCATCTATCCATCTATCCATTCATACATCCATCCATTCATCCATCCGTCCGTCCGTCCGTCCGTCCGTCCGTCCGTCCGTCCATCCGTCCATCCATCCATCCATCCATCCATCCATCCATCCATCCATCCATCCATCCATCCATCCATCCATCCATCCATCCATCCATCCATCTAGGTTTGCCATTATTACAGTGTACTAGTACCACTATACCGTTATGTTCAACGGCTGCGCAGTGAAGCCACTCGTCGAGCGCGCAAGGGACAAATACGGCGCGATGTTCCGGCGGGGGCGACATGCCCCGACAGGCGCTGCTGGGACTTATTCGCACGCTCTGAGAAAGATTGCGCTCAGACAGTGAGACTGTATGATGATATTGGTTCTAGATCATATGCGTCTGTGGACAAAACAACGAGTACAACAGTTTTACAGCGTTTGGTCTATCTTGGGTCGGGCGGAAGTGTAGGGCGTGGAGCAGTGAGTCATAAGCACAACATGTGAGTTAAGTGTTGGCTGTTCAGGGTTGAAGCAAAGCACGAACGAGGGCGACGCAGAGGATATCGGCCATGGGTGGGCGAGTTCACTCATGAGTCTACTGACTCGGACTCACCCAGACTGAAAGAGAGCCGTGAGTCCGAGTCTGAATGAGCCCATATGAGTAATATTTTGGCAAGTTTGAGTCCCAGCTGAGGACAATATTCGCAAGCATGAGTCCGAGTGAGTTTGGCTCATACAAATTTCGGTTAGTCCGAGCGAAAGGTAAGAGCAAGATATATTTCATGAGTTGCTGACCTATGATTACGCGCACCAGAATCGAAGTGCGCCACAATGCGTACCATTGCCTCGTGTCACCGTCTCTTTACGTCGAGTCCACAAGACATTCGTATACACCGACTAGATATGAACGAGCGGCAAAGCTATCCGCCCAAACGGCGCGATAAAACCGCTTCGACAATCAGCGACGTGTGCAGTAGGAACGGCGTCCAAAATGAGCAGGTTGGGTCACGACTCCTTGCATCCTGCCTACACTGACAAATCGAGGAGGGAAGGAGCGAGCAAAGTGCTTCTGATTGGCTCGACGAGGCGTCGTTTATTCACGCAGCGCGTTCCGAAGGACAAGGCGAAGCAAACACGCGACGTGCCGTCGATGTCGGGCATGCCGCTCCGCTCTTTCTAGAATACTGCCGACTGTTCGGTGAAACCAGTCTTGACTGTATTCCCACAGCTTTTCGGCTTCTATGGAATAGTATAAGCATGTCCATCCGCTCTTGTCGGGAGTAGATGGTCGCGGCCAAAGCTTGAAAATTTCTCTGCACTGCGCTGTTGGGTGGGTGAATACGGATGGATGGATGGTTGAACTTTATTTGCAGCCCTGAGAAACGCGACTGGAGCGCACTGGGCTTCCCCTACGGTGGGGCGGGCAGGCTAAGACCCCCGCATTATATATGCTCTCTGGACGGCCCAAAGCTGGTCCCCCTTGTTGGGGCCTCTGATGGTGGAGTACCGCTTGGCCGGGTTCGCTCGATCACTGCCAAGTAACTAGGGCCATCGAGAGCATGTGCTCTAAGTTAGCTACGTCCCCACAGCGGGAGCAGAAGCTGGTAGTGTAAGTATTTGGGTAAAGTTTATGAAAGAGGTCCAGATTTGAATATGAATCTGTTTGTAAGAGTCTAAGCGTTATTGCCTGGGCTCTGTACAGTGTTCTGTCAGGCGAGGTGTATATACCCTCTTGCTCAGGTAGAAGTGCGGCGTGATTTAATTGTAGGTACTGGGCTGATCTCTATTGTTCTCCCCAGCCCACGACGTTGGACGTTGTGGGCTGGGGAGAACAATCGTGGGCGTGGAACGTCATACCTCGCGCCTTGAAGTGGACCAGCTCGTTGACGTTGATGGGGCCTCCTTCAAAATGACTCGGGTGAGCAAGGAACCACACACACATAAAAGATGGGGTTAGAGATGTATTTTTTACCGATAATAGGGCATGCTTTCTTGGCAGTTTTACCGACGGCGAAGGCACGGTCGGCTGCCCGGGAGTCACTGAATGTGTTCCCACACTTATCGTCAAGGAGAGCAATGGCAATGACCACATACTCTGCCGCGCTCGATGAGAAAACATTCGATCGATGCTGCGTTGGTGACCGAACCAGCTTGGTTGACCGAGATCACTGTACTGTGTCTTTGTTGCTGTTCTCGTGCTCAAATATTAAAGGTAGAAATGATAAGGGATGGAGCTGCAGTGAAGCTAGCGCCACACGTCATCACGGTTCGTCCGGCGAGCTTGCGGTTGACAGAGCCTCCTGGCGAGGGGTCAAACTCAGGGGTTTCAAACCTTTCATCATTAATCGTTGCAATGGTTTGTCGAAGGCTGACCGTCAAGTGATGTAGTTTTGTTCGTTCACGTACCTACGCCTACATTTCTTGATTTCGGTGTATTTTTTTAAATGTAGAGCTTAAAATGTGCATTACACTATGCATAAGTCTATCTGACTGAAAAACACTCGTCATTCGCGCAATTAGTTCAGCAGGGCCCTATCGTTTGCTAGCGGTCTGCAGCACGCGTTCTCCTGCTGACTGCTTATCTAGTTTCGCGAGCCTAACAAGCACGCCTGGGCATGACGCCATCTTGAATTCTATATAAACATTTTTTTTTATAATTGTAAAGCTATAGCTTTCCTGCTATGCAGTTTATCCTACTAACGGTTGCTATTGCCACTTGCTGCAAACAGCGCATTCAAGCACAGTTTGCTTGAGATATATGACGAGAGAAACGTATACCCATGGCTCTTTTGACATAAACATGGAGAATGCACAAGCCCCAGTACATGCATCTACATAAAACCTTGTCTCCACTTGAAGCTAAACAGGTGTCACAATGAGATGGGCGAATATGCAGCGCAAGGAAATAATGAAAATGGTCTATTTTAGAAGCAAACTTGAGCTGGACGTCTTATACATGTATGAAGGCTGTACTTAAGCGAAAGTTGTTGCTTTGACTACGCATGCGAACGACCCACTGATCAGTTCATATATACTCGCGACTTTGTTTTGTTTTTCGTTCATTCAGATTGGTGTCGCAGTGATCATCAGATCAAGACCAAAGTTCAAAAATAATGCTTCGCTCATCGAAATGTCTCGCACAGACGCGAACTTACTTCAACTTAAACGAGAGCGTGGATTCGAGTCCCTGTCCCTGCGGCCGCATTTTGATGAAGACAAACTAGAAGGAACACCCGTGTGCTCATTTACTCATATTTCGGCGATCGTTAAATAACCCTTGGTAGTCAATATTAATCCGATGTCTGCCCCGACGGCGTGCATCATAATCATATCGTCGTTTTGGCACCTAAAACCCCAGTATTTATTACTAATACTAGTTCAGTTCAATAGAGAATTCATCAGAGCTTTGTCGCGGGACCATTCCCCGTCTTCCGCGTCGGCTGGTAGAGAGAATACAAAAATTCCGTCGACGCCTTCTATCCCGAGCGGTAGCCTTGAACAAAGCTACTGTTAAGTATTGCTGCCATGGAAATTCAGCGTGCAAGCTTGGGCTTGTTTGTAATTCACTTCGAAGCAAATAAAGGCGCGAAGGTACAAAAAATACTGACGCATAGACGGAAAATGTGTACCTCATGCTTTTTTTGCCCACGTTTATTTCGCAGTGTTTCCCTACTCAAATTAAAGACATCGATGTTGCCGCACGGAGACACACCTTGATGTGCAATAAATAAAAACAATAGAGCAACACGGCGCCGACAAATCTAACTTCGCTTCCAAAAACTCTAGAACAGTAACAGCAATGGTTCTCCGTCACGGATGTTTCGGAGACCCCTTGTGGATCGGCGGAAGTTTTGAGAGATATATCGCCTTAGCAAAAGACAAAGGGGGGGGGGGGGGTATAAATTAACACAATATGCAGCGTGAGTTAGGCGTCATTTATTTCTCTCTAGCAATGGTCAAACTCAAGTGCCAATCGATCTCAACTGCGAGTCAGTGAGTTGTGTGGTCCGCAGCCACATTCAATTTGTTTCTAGCTTTACTTGCTCGTCAAATGTGTGAGCTTATAAAAAGTATGCTACCATACACATGTCGTAGAAAGCTGCAACAAAAGCTTTACCACCATCTCATGGAGAAGGGGCGAAACAAAGTCAGCTCCGCCGCAATGCATTCGTGCAAGAATCAGAAGGAGCCGATCACGAGATTTAACGTACCCCCCTCCCCCATGGGCCCCCTCCCTCATAAAAAAAGTGTTTCCTCGCTTTTTCTTCTTTGTTTCGAGTATGTATTTCGCAGACCCCCACTTCAGAACCGCTGGCTTATAGTGTCGCATTCTAAAGGCGCCTCGATGAACTCTAGCGCCAAGGCACCCTATGTTTTCTAGCCACGCAACCTGCTTCATACATCATGGAGGTGCGATGCTTGTATGGTCACAGTGAAGTCCAATTCCCCGGTATGCACTTTCTAGATCCTTCCTTATTCCTCGACACACTTCTTTCTTTTGCACTTACCGGGATGAATTAACATTTTATATATGTTTACCTGGCGTAGATAAACGTGCGCTGATAGTTTGTACGACATCGGCCAGGTAGCGTCGCTGGCGTCTTTGTATGAGGACAAATGATTGGCGTTTAACTCCACAAGCTGGACCGTAAACGCCCATGCGGAATTCGTCGTGTTAGTCCTAGGAAGCGCTATTCACATTCAAAATATAGACCCGAGCAGCCTCTAATATGGTGCAGTCTCGCTTCTTTGGCCCGGCCCTTCTTCCCTGGCACATTATGGCAACCGACGAGTAATGCAAAGTTGTATACGATACACGAGGGACTCTGCCGGGGATCGCGGCTGACCTATGAGGGGCTGGCAATGGCCGACAAAGAGGATGTTGTTTTTGTGTAGGAGAGAGCTGGCGTATCCTCGTCGAGACAAAGGGAGCCACCTTCAATGAAGCCGCAAGGAGGCAGGCCAGTGCACGCCGCGAAGCCTCCGCGGCGGCCTATCGTCGGTTGGCTCTGCTTTGACAGGAGCCGATAAAGCGGCGCCCTGGACTTCGCCCGGGCCGTGCTTCAATCGCGCCAGAGATAAAACTAGAGAAGCCTCTTTCTCCCAGTCGACGCTCGCTCGCGCGGACATCGGAAAAAGTGCGCCCGTATTTGGCACTTTCATTGGTCGTCTGCGGCAACACAACGGCCGACCGCAGCGGCTTCACAAGTGATCTGGCTCGACGTGATTTTCCGCGGAAACCGCTTGGCTTCGGCTCAAGCTCTTCGTGGTGAACGGCGCTTCCGGCTGAGCAGGTGAGGCTGCGTGTTGCCATGCGCTCTCCCCCGGGCATTACCCTCGAACGAGCGCCTTCATTTTTTTCTTTTGTTCCGAGTTACGCGTTGCAACGGTACTTCGGTACTTGGTGTTAGTCCATTGGGTGACACACTTCAGAAGCACGCCTCGCCGGAACAAAAGGACGCACGTTAAGGTCCCGTGACCATAAATAGCCTGTCGTGAAGAGCACGCACAGTGTCCCAAGTTCGGCGGAGAAGACGCATGGCGGGCACCAACGGAAACCGAAACCGACCTGTTTGCCTTCGAAGTACATTCTAGAAAGGGCACGGCAGAAAAATCTTCACTACTTAGGAACAGCTCTAAGTCGGATAATTATCAACATGTCCACTGCAGGGCGGAGGCCTGTCCACTGAATTTGCCCTGTCCAGCGGAAGCAAATACAGTTTATGCCGGCCAATTTCTCTATTTGATCACCCCACATCTGCCGGTGAGGCTTATACCATCTCTTGGTATCCACTCTAGCTCGGTTATACGTCCCTTGCATCATGTGAACTGCCCTGGTCTACTGCTTTCTCTTTAAGAATATCGGCTATCTCTCACATCCAATTGGCTCTCTACCCGTCTCCTTATGTTATGCCTAACATTTATCCCTCCAACGTTAACTGTGTGGTTCTTACTTCTCTTCCTTCAATTTTTCATCATCAACCATGTTTCCGCCCGATGTATCAGTGTACGGAATGTACAGAAAGTGTTGCTGAGATACCCCTCCACTACTCTTTATTCTCGTGTTTTCTCTACCTAGTCGTTTGAATGCTTTTCTTAAGCATGCAGTGAACAACAATGGTATCTGATCTCGTGGCCGGACACCTTCCGCGATATTAATCTTTCTGCTTTTCCTGGGCTGAAGCAAGGTAGAGTTGTGAAATCTTTGCAGATGTATTAATACGTGTATTACGCACATGCTTCTTCACGATGCAATGCATCTGACACTGTTGGTATCTTTACTGAGACAAAAGCATTTTTGAGGTCTATGGAAGCCATGCACAGGGGCTCGTTGTATAGTGCAGATTTTTTTTTATTTACTAGATTGAAAACATGGTAGTTATTCATTGTGGCATATCCTTCTCTGAACCCATCTCAATCTATGAATTATTTAAAGTCAAATGTGTTTGTTATGTCCTATTCATGATTACTTTTGGGAATAGTTAATACAATACTAGAAGTAAGATGGTCAGTATTTGAACGTTTAGATTTCCCTTCTTGCGTATTAGTGCAATGTTAGTGTTTTTTTTTGTTTCTTCAACCGGCTGGCACATACGCAGTCTTAAAGGCTTTTTGTAGCATGTCGCAAGCTCCTTATAAGCTCCTAATCTCCAATGTTTTCGATCACATCGACTGTGATGTGGTCTTCACCATGCCTTCTTGCGTGAGACACACTTTGCCAGGCTTTTTTAACATCGCTGATGTTTACACACGAAACTACAGCATTCTCTTTAGCGTTGGTTTCATTCCAAGGTGACTGTAATTTTTTTTTTTGAACTGTGCAGCGCTGAGCAAACATCTTCTGCCTCCTTCACTCTATCAGTGAAACTGCCGACAATTTCTTCCTTAACTTTCACTGCATGCATATTGGTCCTTCCTACAATGAGTTTCATTTTAGCTGCTTATATTCTGCTGCCTCGATCTCTGACTTTATTCAGCCCCGTACGTCATTCATTTTTGTTTGTTTGTTTGTTTGTTGTTGTTGTTGTTGTTGTTGTTGTTGTTGTTGTTGTTGTTGTTGTTGTTGTTGTTGTTGTTGTTGTTGTTGTTGTAGATCGGTTTATCTCTATTTCATCTCTATTTACTCTGGTTACTTTGGTCTGCTGTCGTTCTTGTAGTAGGTCATTAGCGGTGCGAGACAGCTTCTCTATTTGCCGCCTATATTTATCTGTCTCCAACTTCAAATGCTAATGCGGAAATCCGCACGGTTACGCTTTGGGTCATTTCATTAATTTCGCCATTTCGTTCTTGTAAGACGCGAGGCCGAGCAGCTGTGAAATGCTTATGGTCACACGACTACCGACGAAGCGAACGGCGGACACTTGCTTCTTTTCCGTCCACACACGCTTACCTCCCGGTCACATTTATCGTTCACGAACAGCAGAAGGCGCACATAACTTTTACAGCAACACTGATTTAAATGCTGAACCAGCATCATAGCCACAAGTTAATTATTGTAGCTGCAAAATAAGCACAGCAGGGGGAGTGTTTATGAGTGACAAACGTATAGGAAAAAGCTTTGCATCATTAACATAGCCGAGAGCCTTCAAGTCAGACTGCTGGTTATGTTGTGTGCGTGTGTTCGCGTCACGGTTATGTAAGCGCTTTATATAAGCTTATAATTTCGTTAGCGAGGGGTATTTCCCACAACGCTAACGTACAGCGTGGCAGGAAAAACATAAGGAATAGATCATATTCGGACATCAGCCTTTTATAGCCACAAACAAGATATTATGAACTGCAACAGCCTTTGATTTCAAGCTTGACTCAGCTGTTGTGATGAGGGAAAGGCAATATCTATTATAGCATGTCCGTCGGGCGTCATTAGAGGTCAACAACCTTTCAATAGCTCAGCCGATAGTTCAAATTTTCATAGCCGTTCTAAGACTTTTCTCTTTATTAGGTTGTGATACCATTCTTTCAGACTGAGTAAGTCGTAAACCCAAAATTTTTCAGTGACCACTTTAAAGGCTATTGAATTTGTGAAGCTTCGTTGGATCCACAATATGTGCCTTTGAATTCAAATGTGACCTTTAGGTTCCTTTGTGTTTTGCGGTTCATGATGGTGTATAACCTTGCACCACTGACTATTTACCAATGCTTTGAATATTATCAATATATCCTCAGACCAATTAAGGCGCGGGAGAAAAACAACTGCACAGAACCACGAATTTCATGCTTCATGCTTTGTATTGGCGTATGTATTCATTGATGTAAGTGCCCGTGGAACATGAAAGAGAAAACTGGATGGAAATCAGCAGATGTGCATGTATATTTCAGTTCGTTGAAATATTTTGCGTTAATGAGAGCATAATGAAATGTGTATAACAATTCATAAAAGAAATTTTTCTGTTACACGACACAATACAACGTCATGACTATATTGTGAGTCGTAGTAACGTACTGCGATTGCATTTTTGACCACGAGTGTTTTTTTTTTTTTTTGACGTGCTTCTAAACGTAAATGCGTGTTCACATATTGCTCTAATCGAAATGCAGCTGCGATCAAATCTACGAGTTCACAATTTTTTATGGCAGTGATTCCAACTTCAATTGAGTGACGTGGACATAAATTGCTCTCGTTACAATGACGCCGCCAATGTGCGGATTACGCATTGTCGATCCTCAACACCGGCTTCTCTTCTGCTAGCACATGCGAGACAAACAAAGCATATGCACAGTGATGCAATCGCTGCGCCCATTAATATCTTAAAACAAGCCACATGTGCACAGTACACAAATCTTGTAAACAAGAAGCTGTTGGATACTCCATGAAATCAATACATTACTATGGGTTGCTTTTTCGTCAAAAACAATGAACTTCTGGCAACAACTACTAGATGGTTATCGGTATAGAGAGGGTACATGCGCCGATCATATATACTGAGTTCCAACTCATTGCTTATGATTAAAGAAAGAAAAAAAAACAGGTTTGAAACTGTGTTATGAATGTAGCCGTAGCCAACAAGAAACGACAAAGGGTGCACCAAGATTTCATGCGAAATAGGCCCTCATTATGCTCCTGCTTCGTCAGAATATTCGCAGCATTTATGCGGATTCTACGGTTTGTCAATTTCTCGGTAAATGACTTGACGCCTCGTACCCAACACGCAATGCACGCCTCCAGCGTGAAGTGCGATAGCAATGTGGCCACAGTGGAAACGACGTGTAATGTTCATACTGTCGCGATCGTATACACACACGAATTTGCGGAGCGCAAGAATGCCGTATAGTCGTGCTGTCCCGTTTTCGAAGGCGAACCCGTGGATAGCCCTTGAAAAATCTACCGTCACTTTTTTTTTCTTCTTGAGCTCGATCATTTCCCATAAGTGTCGTCTTATGCGCCACCTCGATGGCGCATGCCAGTTTGTTTCAACCAGCAGCAATTGCCTCATGTCGCGCCAAATTATCACGCAGACTTACGTTCAGAACACTATCGAATAACCTCCCCCTCCCCCCAAAGGAACGCTACACCGCAACACACCAAGCGCCACAACAACATGCCTTAACACACAAACAAGACCCCCAATTGATGTCCTCACTTTGTGTCACGAACTGGAGGCTTGTTTCGTATTTCATATTTTCAGAAAGCATTGCCGTCGCCGTATAGCCCTCGGGCACATTGCTTCATTAGTTTCTTATCTACCTGTGCGGCACGTTTCGCCAGTTTATGTGGTTTATAGCTTTGACTATTATTTCGAAGCCTGATATTAAAGCGACGCACTTTTTTTTTTGCTTTCTGCCTGTCTTTATTTTGTCCTTCCTTTTTTCCTTTTTTTTTTGCGGGCAGGAAAAAACGTCACGGTCCTTCAGCGGTATTCACGACGATCCTGGTCGCCAAACGTAAACAGCCGATTGCTCTTTTCCTTTCGCAACAATATATTTACATTTTTACGACACATATATCGCTCAATGCACTTCCGCAGCAACTAAACAGCGTGGTGATATGCCTCGTACAATAACATACATGTGGCTGTGCCCTACAGCAGTGATCGCACTGATGCTGGCGTTAACACATTTTGTACATCTTGATCTTTATAGTTCGCTTTAATATGTTGATGTGAGATATACGATCGTATTTCAGCGTCGATAACATATTGACAAGCAAGCATCTCAAGCATGCACGAGCGCACTACAGCACGTCAACCAAACGTCTTGATTACGAACAGCCGACTTTTCTCATTTAGAAATGACAGCCCATAGAATGTCGCCTTTTTCCACATCCTTTGACGTTCCCCGTAATCTTAGGAAGATC